TACATTCCATACTACACACATCTGTCCCTAAACGTGTTTGTTTGGTAACTTAAGCTCTGCCATCTTGGTCCTAATTGAATTTACATTCAACATGCAATTTATTGTGGGTAATATTAGCCATTAGTGTACAGATGGGAATAGTAGACCATCTGGCAATTTAATTCAACAAAACATTCAAAAACAAGCATTTTGAAATCGTATCTCCTTGCAAACAAAAACAATTTGTAGTGTTATTTAGCTTCACAACTTCAGACATCCCAAGTTCCGTGGAGTGTCCCGCACACATGCATAGAGACTCTCTGATGCCCACAAATTAGATACAATCTCCCAGAAATTAATGTCTTTATGTACCCCCCTCCCAGAAATTACTTTGACCAAGTTGGATGTCTGTAACATGCTTAATAAAAATTACCAGAAAAGAGCCATTTTGACATTTCCCTACAGTTATTAGAAACTGTAGGGCTGATTGTGTATTCAGAATCAGTGTTTCTATTAATTCTTGGTTTGACACTTGCATTAGCTGAAGTTTCACAGCTAGAAAGTGTCTGAAAACTTCTAACACTGCCAGCAGTGTCAGTCTCGGTGCCAGTTTATCATTTGGAAAATCTGATTACAAGGACCATTAAGCGGTATGTGCTTGTGCGCAAAAGTGTGTGGGTGTTTCCCAGTGTTGGGTTGTGGCTGGAAGAGCATCCGCTGTGTAAAACATGTGCTGGATAAGTTGGCAGTTCATTCCGCTGTGGCAAACTGTGATTAATAAAGGGACTAAGCTGAAAAGAAAATGAATGAATAAGGTTACTGGATGGTTTGGTTTAGGATTGTGGTAGGTGTAGACATTCATAAAACAAAACAGGTACAGGTGTCTTAGTACAAGACATTATAAAAATAAAAACACTTGAAGCTGGCTCTGACCTTCTCCCGATTTTAGCCAAGGATTACAGGAATATTTTAGGTCTTTCCAAATTTGCCATAGATGATAAAATTGTGTCTAAAAAGCACAATGAGAGGCACTGCATATTGACACTTTGAAAATAGCATGCAACTATTGTAATTGTAATGTAATTTGATTTCAGTAAACAGGGCTTTAATACATTTATAAAACATCAATGCTTCTCTTTTGATGGACAATCTTTGTAATATCATAAAATATACAAATGATGCAGGTTCACCAAGAGTGCTCCCTAGTGGTGAATCACTGAACAGATTTCATAGTTTTGCGAGTTTGTATTTTATGAGTGCTGCAGTTTCCCCTACAGTCCCAAGACATTCGGTGTAGGTGAAATGAATAAACTAAATTAGGCGTAGTGAATTAGTGTGTGTATTTCCCAGTGCTGGATTGCGACTTGGATGGCATCCTCTGCATAAAACACATGCCAGGGTAATTGCTGGTTCATTCCACTTTGACAACCCCTGATAAATAAAGGACTAAGCTTCTCTTAATAGCGAGCCCACAATGGAACAAACAATATAATCTCTGAAACCTGATTTGATGACATCTGGCACTTTGGAGAAGTGTTCTCTTCATGAATGAATCCTGGTTTTCACTGTGCAAGGCAGATGGTAGACCGTGTGGATGGCGTCAAGTGTGGTTGAGTGGGTTGCTGATGTCAGTGATGTAAATACAGCGGCCCATGGTCACGGTGTGGTTATATTATAGGCATATGCAATGGGCAATGAAAGCAGCTGAATATTATTGATGGCTTTTTAAATGCAGAGATAGCGCAATGAGACAATGAAGCTCATTGTTGTGCCATTCGTCCACAAACACCACCTCATCTTGCAGCATGATAATGCACAACCCCATGTTGCAAGTTTCTGTACACCACTCCTGGAAGCTGAAAACATACCAGTTCTTGCATAGTGGACATGTAACTCACCAAGCATGTTTGAGATGCTCTGAATTGGTGCATCCAGCTGCATGTTCCAGTTACAGCCAATATTCAGCAACATTGAACAGTCATTAAAGAGAAGTGGACTACAGGTTACAATCTATGCAAGTCAACTCTTTAAAAAAAAAAAAAAAAAAAAAAAAGATGTGTTGCTCTTGATGAGGTTTTTGACCTGCATGTATCCCATGCATACATGTCCCTAGCAGTGAATCGTTTCAAGCTTTGCAAATCTTCATTTCTTCCGTCGCTAAATAAAACACATGACAGGTGACCTCTTAAAAAACAGAACTGCAACTAGCAGCTTGAATGTTTGACCTAAAAAGGAGAAGGTAGTTCACTTTAACCGTTTATATATAGCCTATTTATATGTGCTATTAATTGGTTCGCTTTCATTAAAACTAAAATGCATACAGAAAAACTAGATGGAGTGTTCATGGCCGTGAACAAATACTGACTCTTCATTAAATAGATCACGTAAAAATTTAATTTACTCACCATCAAGTGGTCCCAAACTTAGTTTCTTTCTATTGAAATTATTGTAACAAGTGACATTTCAGTGGACGTCCTGTAAATACTAAAAAGTTTTCAAAAACTAAGGTCGTTTCCTTTACCAAGACACCCAATGAAATGAAAGGGTGTAACAGTACACTCATGTAGTTGTATTTTGGGATTTATAGAGGTTTCCTAGACCAGAGGACTTATAACATTTCTTCCAAATTTAAAATAAGAAAAAAATAAAAACATTTAAAGAAATAAATAATAATAACAATTGATAAGTGTTGTGTTGTCTTGACTTGAATATTAAGCCTTAACATTTATTTAGAATTTGGAAGAAATGTCATCAGTAGTACATCAAACAGAAGAAAACAAACAAAAACAAAAAAAAACATTGCTTACAATAAAAAAGTATTTTATTTCAGACAGTAATGTACAAAGCTGCTTGTTACATTTGGCCACATTAGCCAGTATTTTAAGAAAATAATTTTCAGATTCTTTATTAAATAAGCAGATTTAAAAAGTTTAACTTAAAGTTCGCAAGTAATCGCTCCAAGAAATGTGAATTAGAAACATTAGAAGTAGCCACACAGCAACTAGAGCCTAAATTGATCACCACAGCTTATCAACATCTCAATCTGGTCAATCATTAATGCAGTTTTAGCAACAAACTAGAATTTGGCAATGTTTGTACAGTGGGTCTGTGTGCATAGTTAAAGACAATACATTAAAATAAAATAACAAATCTGTCTTGGTTAGAAAAGGTAATAATATAATCATAAAATCTGAATCTACTATAAGAAATCTAAAAGCTTTTCAGGCAATCTTTCAGATGCTTCTGTTAATCGGATCCCTTTGTAAGCATTTTATCCTGACTTCAGCGTTGGCTTTCAGTTTACGATCTGGACAGGGAACTTGATGCAAAATAAATCTTTGCTGGAGTCGTCTCTTAGTTCCCATTCCACAACCACTTTTATCTAATAAACAAAAATAAATATTTAAGTGAAGATATACAACATTACAGACTTGCTTAGAACTAGAGAAGAAGCTTTAACACTTACTGCTGGATACTCAGTCTTGACAGGCAGCTCAGTGACATAGTTGTAAGGTTTCTGTGGAACAATAGGACACTGAATGCCAGATTTGCACCCATCGTCAATTGGAATAGGGAAGGGGACAGGGACACCAGCAAGCACACCATGAACCACAGCTTTACTGGTCTGACTTTCAACACCTAAGGAAATATAAGGGTTAATAGTTATTATTAACATCATAATTTCAGATTTATTCAAAAGTTTATTATATGTATAAAGCAACTCACCACTGCTGAAGGTTACATTAACGGTGTAGGATTGTCCCTTGTGAAGCTTGCAGGGCTGTTGCGAGCAGGGCTTGATGTCAACCTGAACTACTTTTCCGTCTACCGAGCCTGTAAGATGAAAGTGGAAATTATATACAAATATACAATTCAAGTAAAAAATAAATAAATTGAAATTGTTAAATATACAAACTTGATAAAAATAAAGACTTACCGCAGTCCACAAATTTTACCGGATCAGCACAAGTGTACGCGAGAAAAGAAAGTAAAACCACGCCGAGCACTCTGTAGTCCATGGTTCAAATGAATGCTGTTAGGAACCAACACACTAGAGTTAGTTTACTGACAAAAATCTAAACACAAGTAGGATAATTAATAATCACATGACAGCGAATATGCGTACACTTCCTCATAAACGTAAATGTCACTTTTCAAAATAGCACACAAAAACTTTCAGAGAAAAAGTACTTAGATCAAGTTAAAAGGTAAAAACATTAAATAATTTAATTAAATGTGTTTACTTACTAGGTTCTTCCTTCTGTCCCCTTTTCTTACACCCTGTTTCCTTGTCACGAGACCAGAATGACTGTGTCCTCCAATCAAATACTGTATGTATGGGCAGTCCTATGACGTAAAACGCCTTTTCGACGATCTCTCAACCAATGGTAGTGACTCGTTAAAATGGTCTGAAACTAGGACGTTCTTTTGTTGCCAGATATGTGAAAAACTTGGAAAACAAGTTTATCCAAGCAAACAATGTTTGCTTGGATATTCAATAACTCACTCAATTTCCTTCAGCTTACATCCTTTGAACCCTTTGTGTGTGTTTAACAGTTTTTAATCGTTAGACTAAACTAAACATAGTCTAAAATAGATTATCCATGGTATTTGTAGTAAAACTGGTTACACAAGTGGTAGACCTAACAGTCATTACTTTTTTATATTATGGCGAAACAATTGTCGATTTTAAAATAATGGTTTGCTAATAAAACATATTATTTAGACATATTAGTTCTAAGAAAGTTTTTATTGCACATTTAAGAAGATTTCAGTAAAAAAATGTTTCTGTGACAAATAATGGTACTTCATAGAAAGATCATTTGTGTTCTTATTTATCTAACTTAATTTTTTATGGTTCTGTGAAAGCTGTCTTTATTATAAAAATCAGATTTCTATTAACGTAAACATAGTTTACTGTTTTAAAACGTTTTGAAACCAAATAAAAATAACACCCTAAATACATAAAAATCCAACCTGGCAACCGATATTCTCGATAACGTCCACTAAGGCGCATGCGTAGTACTGTGTGAGTTACAGAAGATGTCATTCGCCCGGAGACTGCTTGTAAGCGCTCCTAAAACAGCGTCATTTCACCTTCTCAAGTATGCTCAATTTAGCGAAATTACGCTCATACATTTTGCATGTATTTTGTGATTTGGTTTGACTATGTTTTATGTCCGTACTTCAGCTAATAGCTAACAAAATAGCTTAGCTAGCATGCACAGGCAGTGAGATAACGACACCTTATTAGTATCCAATAACTGAAAGTAGCACATATCAGAACTAATTAATGAAAATCGCCACTTAAACTTATATACTGATTTAATTAAAATGAAATTTCTCGATTGCGTGTATTCAGTGGATTACAAACTAATCCGCGTTTTGCTAATGTTACACATATCATGTCAAGAATGTTAAATCTCTTTCTTAGTTGCTTTTTAACGTGAAATCATCATAATGTTTTTACAGAAGTAGGTTGACAAATTAGCCCCATAGGTTTGTTTTGATCAAGTGCATTGTGTGTGTGTGTGTGTGTGTGTCCACCATTCCCTGGCTGTCACGTGCGTTTTGTTGTTCTCCAGCCTGCTGTCAGTGAGATCATGTGCAGCTCCTCTCACCTCCACCTCCTCCAACACTGAACACCAGAATACATCCAGTACAGATGCAGAAGTTCACCTCAGCCAGTCCTGTGTCAAGGTGCGAGTTCATGTGTACTTCATCTTAGATACTCAGAAGTATAGTTGTGGCCAAATTGATGTTTACTCATCCTTATGGTTCCAAATATTTATAAATTTCGTTTGTCTGTTTCAACTCAAAAGAAGAGGTCTGGAAACCATTTAAATCCATAGTAAAAAAAAAATAAGGAAAATCATTTGATGCTGTTACCGACATTATTCAAAATATCTTCTTTTGCATGCAACAGAAGAAAGAAGTTTTGGGAGAACTTTCAATTTATGCGGTCACATTTACGCACACACCAGATAGGCACAATTAAATGTGCCTATCTAGCCATGAACATTTATTTATTCATTCATTCATTTTTCTTTGGCTTAGACCCTTATTTATCAGGGGGCACCACAGTGGAATAACCTGTCAACTATTTCAGCATATGTTTCATGTAGCAGATGCCCTTCCAGCCACAACTCAGTACTGGGAAATAGCCTTGGACAACAGCAAATATTAATAGTTGTACTTTTGTTGTTTCTGTAGAGGCTCGCTGAAATCATGGAGAAAGGACAATATCTGAGAATAGCAGTGGAGGGAGGAGGATGTTCAGGATTCCAGTATAAATTCTCTGTGGACAGTGTGAAAAATGAAGATGACAGGTAATTTACCTTGCACAAAAGGGGTTATAAAAAGTTTTTATTTTATTCATTTTTGCATGTGCTTTTTTCTTTGTCAAAATTAGATCTAGTGATAGGAGCTAGGCCTACATAAAAATGAAATATTTTTAAAAATCCAAACTTAATTTTACCAAACTTATAGATATTATTCATACAGTTTAGCAATCATAGTCAACTGAAAAAAGACCAATTTTGAAATTGTTCATGTTAAATCTAAATTAATGCTGTTTTTAGGGTTGTAAAGGCACACTATGTATAATTGTGTATCTTATTTGTATCAAAACAAACTGTTGTTTTATCTACTGCATGATAGGAATTGAATTTCAAACTTTAGTAGTTTTACAGCATTTTTACATGCTAATATTAATTCTTCAGTAGTTATCTTCAAACTATCTTTTAGTCTGGTAATAAAAGTTCACTAGACATTATATCATAATCACACGCCACCAGTGTTATTAGGCTAATGTCAAAAAAATCTGCTCATGACATCTAGTTGTGCTTTTTTAATACCGACAGGTGGTAGTAGTCTGTATTGTCATTCCACAAAGGGAAACCAGAACTAGTGCTGCACACATACAAATCATAAAGAAAGCAGCACTTGTGTACCTTTTTTTATTTATTCATTTCCTTTATTTAGCCAGGAGATCATGTTGAGACAGTACTGTCTGTTCTTCCAGTAACACCTGGTCAAGACGGCTGACAGCACATAAAGATCACAAAAAACAATACCACTAAATGACAAAATCGTAGTTCATAAAAAGGTCAGATCAAAAAGGTGGGGGTTATTAGATTGATGACACAGTAACAGCGTTAGTTGTAGCAAATTGATTTCACAGCACAATGTTTAACTTTAACGCCTTTACAGCACTTGCACACATTAAAAATAAAGGCCATGACTGAACATAGAGGACCATCTCCAAGTGGTGATCTCCAAAATTAAACCAAAACTTCTGTACAGTCTTGCGCTGTGAACATTGTGCCCACCAGTCTCATTATATGAGGCTACTATTAAATTAAACAAATGAATAATGACTATAACATTATATGATTGTTAGACTGTTGCACTTTTTTTGTGTTGTCAATATGCTCGTGTTTATATTGTTCCTTTTGGTGTGTATGCACCATGGTATACAATGTTTGTATGCTTATAACCAACTCTGAGGATAGTGGGGGGTCATGAGTCACTGGAATTGTTATTTTAGGGTCGCGGGCTAAAATGTTTGGCCCTGCACTAAACCTCTGCTCTATAGAACATGATGTTTGTGCCTTTGTTGCCAAATCTAAATACCAATGGCCATCAACAAAGAAAATGACACAATATCTAGAGATTTTTTTAAAGCATAACATATTTAATGAGTGAGTTCAACCAAAAATGAAAGTTCTATCATTTACTCATCCTTCACTTGTTTCAAACCTTTCTTCTGCTGATCACAAATTAACATATATTGAAAAATGTTCAGCCACTGACTTCCACAGTATTGTTTCTACACTGCTGTTTTTTTCAACATTCTTCAAAATATCTTGTTTTGTGTTTAACAGAAGAAAGATAATCATAAAGGTCTAGAACCGCCATTTCCTTAAATGTAAGGAAATGGTAAGGACCTGATCATTTTTGGGAGTGTAATGATCAAACAAGTTGTTGAGGTGCATATTTATGTAAAAAGTAACTGTGGAAATGAAAAACTGATCGTTTGTTGCTTGTAGCACTGGGATCTAGCATGCATACTAGGTGAAACAACTCTTGCTTTTATATCTCTTTCTTTTCCTCTAGAGTGTTTGAAAAGAACGGCGTAGGGATAGTGGTGGACCAGGACAGTCTGGAGTTTGTGAAAGGATCCACTGTTGACTTCAGTCAGGAGCTCATTCGCGCTTCATTTCAGGTGTTGAAGAATCCTCAGGCTGAACACGGCTGCTCCTGTGGCTCCTCTTTTTCTGTGAAACTCTGACTCTCTTCCTGTCTGCATATCAGTTCAGAACACACAGCTTACATGTCTGCTTATTTACAGGTAGAGTTCACCCAAAAAATGAATGTTCACACACTATTTACTCCCTCAAGTGGTTCAAAACCTTTATGAGCTTCTTTATTCTGTTCAACACAAAGATATTTTGAAGAAAGCTCTGACCATTGACTGCTATAGTAGGAAAAACAAATACTATGGAAGTCAGTCTTTACAGCTTTCCAGATTTCTCTAGAATATGTCCTTTTGTGTTTAACAGAATAATGAAGCTCTTGAAGGATAAATAATGTCAGAATTTTCAGTTTTGAGTGAACTGTCCCTTTAAGATCAGTCAGAGGCATAATAATATAATAATGTGATCAATGCTCAATTTGTTACTATGGTAAATGACATTCAGTGTTTTGTGTGTTGTACTGTATATAAGAAAGATTGTAAATATATATCTAAATAAAGTTATAAGATGATATGATATTCCCTGTTGTTGTTTTTTAGGCTTCTTGAGAGACAGCTCAGTTAGAATCTGGGATTGATCACAGAACTGAATTGATTACATTATAAATCTGTGGTCTCGAAGTTAATCTCTTATCTTGATTGTAAGGAGCTCATTATCATAGAATGTGATTGTTTTATGCTGACGAGGTCTTTTTTTTTTTTTAGTAATGATCGTTAAAGTGACGGTTCTGTGGAACTTAAATAATGCTAAAAGTATTTAAAATAAAATGCTTGCCAAATAGCCCTAACTGAAAAAAATACATTAATTTAACTATCTCATGCATTTTAATGATTTGAATTCCCAGGGTTTGTGTTTTTAGCTCCTGCAGTTTAGCATAGCTGTTTATGTTGTGAATATTTTAATGAAAAATATTTGACACATTTTCATACTTAAATGTAATACTTATTCAAATATCCAGTTGTTTAAAACGTGATATATACTATTCTAAAGGTAATTTTCAATTCATTTTATTTCAGTTCAAATGTTTTTTTAAAAATTAGGGGTTCAAAATCGGGTTACTTACATGAACCGTCACAACGGTTACTCAAACCGCCTTTGACAAATATGACACATTATCTCTCTATCTTCTATAGACATAACCTTGTATTAATATTATTATTATTATTATTATTGACTGCTATACGGAATATAAACTACAAAAGAGAAACAGGAAAATAATATATAAAAAAAAACAATTAAATAGATAAACACAATGCCAGGGTTAAGGACAATTAACCCTTGTGAATTGTGAAAATCGACAACCATTTCATTATGTTTGTGGCTATTTTCAAGTGGTGCTCGAGGGGGAGCTTAAGCTTGAGCTCCACCTTTTTTGCACTTCTTCTACGAGTGATGTCACTGGGGGTAGGGTTAGGGGTGGGGTTGGTGTACGCATTAAAACAGCTTACAGGAGGAGGAGTGACAGCTCATGCTCCCTCTCGCTGGAGCTCAGCTCTCCTCAAATGGCTCTGCAGCGAGCACCCTCTCGCTATTTTTGCCCCGTTGACTTTCATTATAACCACAATCTTTTTATTGCAAAGCCTTGACACCATATAATCATGCATTCTTGATTGTTGGTGCTTTTTCCTCTGTTGAAGAGGTGCAAGTTTTAGTTTTTACTCTTGATCATCAGTTGGCACTTTTAACCCTTTAGATAGACCTGTGCAAGACCTATCTAAGTTTCTGGCTTATATATATACATATACATACTGTATACTGTTTACTATGTTCTGAGAACTAAACTGCTTATTTTTATTTTTATCAAACATATTATGGTAATTGTGGAAAGGCCTCTCTTACACTCTTTCTCTCACCCATGCACACATTCTCCATATTCAAGCCAAAAACTATTGTTTTCTTTTTTTTTTCACTGTAACTTATGATCAACAGTAAAAATGACAAACTGAATATGGAAAACCACTAACAATCAAGAATGCATGATTATATGCTGTCATAGCTTTGCAATGAAAAAAATGGGCTTATAACATGACATATACTGTAAGTCAATCGGGAACACAAAAAACTAACATAACAAAAGGGTATTAAATGTGCCCAGTGTGTTGTTAATTGTTTTTCATTATTTCCAAAGAATTTTACCAAGATATGTTTCAAAATAAGATCTGTAACCAAAAACCATTCCACTTGCTAAAACACAGAAATAGTTTTGACCGAATTAAGACTTAAAATCATGAAAACAACCCCAACAGCACACAAAAATGTAAGAATAAAGATATTAATTACAAAATCAAGAACATATAATGATATAATTATCTATTATAAGAGAGTAATAAGAATGCGAGTGACACAGTGGTTAGCACGTTCGCCTTGCAGCAAGCAGGTCACTGGTCCGATGTTGGACTGGGTAAGTTGGTGTTTTTGTGTGGAGTTTGCATGTTCTAATCGTGTTTGCATGGGTTTCCTCCAGGTGCTCTGGTTTCCTGCATAAGTCCAAAGACGTGGTACAGGTGAATTGGGTATGCTAAAATTGACCGTAGTGTGTGAATGAATGTGTTTGAATGTTTCCCATTGATGGGTTGTGGCTAGAAGAGCATCCGCTGCATAAAACATATGCTGGATAAATTAGCCGTTCATTTCGCTGTGATTAATAAAGGGACTAAGCAGAAAAGAAAATGAATGAATGAGTAATGAGAATGCCATGATAATAATGTTTTCAGGACTTTGGAATTATTAGATGTAGGGAGTGTTCAGGTATGTTTTGAGGTCTTCATTCATTCATTCATTTTCTTTTCGGCTTAATCCCTTTATTAAGTAGGGGTTGCCGCAGCAGTACAAATTGCCAACTTATCCAGCATATGTTTTATGCAACAGATGCCCTTCCAGCTGCAAACCCAACACCCGGAAACACCCAGGACGGCAGTACACACACATTACAGCCAATTTAGCGTTTTCAATTTACCTGTACCGCATGTCTTTCGACTGGGAAAACTGGAGCACACCAAGGAAACCCACCCGAACAAAAGGAGAACATGCAAACTCCAGCCAGAAGTGTCAACTGAACCAACGACCTTCTTGTTGTGAGGCGATCGTGCTACCCACTGCACCACCATGATGCCTTGTTTTGAGGTCTTTTAAGGCATAATTTGCAGGTGGAAATAAATTGCTGCGCTTAAACTGCTATGTTAAATCAATCTATTAAAATGCAAGCACTTGTTAATTTAATGCATTATTTGTTTAGAGTTTTATTTAAAATATTTTTGTTCCATAAAGTTTGTAACCAAAAGCTTAAAACCCTGTCAACATTTACTCACTCTTCACTTCTTCCAAACGTATTTGATATTTCAGGTAATCCTCAATCAAAGTCTGACCATTTGCTTCCGTGTTTGGAGTGGTGTTTGGTTTCGGTTCTTCTCTGTTGACATCAGTTTGACACTACAATATTCTTAACCACGCCCCCTCTTACCGTTAGTTTGCTTTGAGGAAATGATGTGAAAAAAGGGCAAAACCCTGCCCCCTCAATATTCAGTTTCAGTTGGACGTACATCAACATTCTGAAATACATCACGTTTTTCAAATATTTTAACTGAAAGATCTAAACTTTGTGAGATCATCTTGACCACATCTACATGCCAATATATTCAATATATAGATTAGATATTTGTGTAAAACAGTCTTACATGAACGCACCACTTATGTGTACATCTTTTTTTTTATTATTAAAGTTGGCCTTTAAGAAACATTTCACAAAAATATACAAAAGAATGTCTTTACAAATGATATTTACAAGAAAATTAAAAGATGCATTAAGCACATCTCTTTCAATCAGAATGAACCAGAGACAAGGTTGCATTTTGTTTCAGTTCACGCTGAACTTGGACAATCCAGATTAGTAAAGTCCAACAAAAACAATAAAAAACATCAGAATAATCAAATAAATGATGTGATGTCATAAAGGCTTCAGCAGCAACATGAACAGTGATTTCAGATAAGACAGCGTTGAAACAAACTCTTCATTCGTTTTCTGAGGAATTGCATTAGTTTTTTTTTCTTCTTCTTTTAAACTTTGATCCCTGACATGAAACACAAAGCTCATACCTACTCACACGAACAGACGTCTCAAGTTCACTAATCAAGCTAGAGTTGCTACATATGAGGTTAGGAGTGTCTTCTACTGTTTAGGGAGATCACGTTCAAGATGGACATGAAAAGACCACTGGACTACCACAGTGAGCAGGTCAAGTATACAGTGCATAGAATGCTTTGGCATGCTGACATCCTAGAATATAACGCCAGTGTTACATTCAGGGAGAAGGCCACAGGAGATCCATGAAACCTTGAAAACAACCACCAGAAATGAAGACGACAGAAAACAGAATATAATATCAAAAACACCACACCTAAATGAAGAATAATAAATAAAAAACACGCAACGGGTAGTTTAAGGCTAATTGTTGTTAGCTTGCTACAAGTTCTTTTTCATTCGGAAGAAACTCTTTTAAACATCAATACAGACGGAATCCAAAATAAATGACTTGTAGCTCTATTTTTTTTTTCTTTCTTTAAAAAAGACAAATAAAAGTGAAGGGTAAACACATACACGTCTGATGGATCTTTTACAGTATGTTGGGTCGTGTGACACCCAACTATCATTCAGAATGGGTGACGACGGCTCATGCATCTGCTGTAAGACTGTGTAAAGATCTCTGTGAGTGTGTGTGCACTCATGCTGTCAGCTGGACTGGAGATGCTTTTGAGGCAGAGCGAGGACACAGCGGGATCTCAGTGAGGAGTGTGGACACACCGCCATACAAACAGACTGAAAAACACACACAAGTGTACCATTAGAATGGGAGCATTTCCAATAACAACAACCCAGTGATTCTTGATTCTGGGTAGTCATTGAAAGCATTCTGCCAAGTAACTGATCTGATCGCTGCCCACCAAATCTGATGGTTTCATGTCAGTTTCTTCATAGTGCAACATAACTGGAGAATGTCTGTCAGTCTGTTGGATGGTTGTTTATTAAAGGTTTAGGACACCCTAGAGAACTTTTTTTTATATTAACAGATATGTGTGTGTTGAGCATTAGTTAAGACAATGTTAGCACTTGTCAGCTTTAATTGTGGGGAAAACTGGATAATTTTGAGCTTTTGTCAGCTAATTTCAGCTTCCGGGTTTAAAATGATTTTTGGGGCGGGATCAAAATTGGCGACGTAGCGCAGTACTGCAAGTGCAATGATGAGGCGTCGGTTTCTCATTATTATTTATAGTGGAGTTTTCTTATCCTATGAGAAGAGCCGGCTGCTTAATTATTCATGAGAGCACGTGCTTTCCGAAGGCAAGACAGACCTGCCAGTTTCAAGCAAGCTGTGAGACACGGAGTCACGGACCAACGGCACGCAGTAGCCGTTCATGAAGGCTCGTATGTGTTTGTTTCTATGATCCACGGGGTTTGTTGTATGTTTTTTTTCCCCGCGATCTTGTCAGGGCGATCATACATCAAAGCTCTGTGTGTGCTG